AAACTTTTTCTGAACCTGTTGCATTTGTAACACCCAGAGGGATTTCTATGCTATCACCTGTCACCAAAACTTTACTATGTTCTCCCTTATTAGTGGACTCGTTGCTTGACAAACCTTCTGCTGCAACTTTGTCCCTTTCAGCTTCTTTTGAACTGCTCTTTCCTTCTAAAACTTTTTCTGAACTTGCTCCATCCGTAACAGCGGGACGGATTTCTGCACTATCACGAAATATATCACAATCCGAAATTTTACAATCAGATGTTATGTAGAGGCAAGTTGCAATAATTTATGCTTCAGAAGGCACAACACATTCTTACAAAAATAACTATTTGATTCAGGAAGCTTGATAATAGAAAAATATACTGGAATAAGTACACTCAAGCACGAGAACTTAGAAAAGTGATCATGAAAGACAATAATCCAACTAAAATTTTCCCAAACTCACTACCTCTAGGCTCTAATGCTGATAGAAATGCAAGATATAAGGAACTTAAAAAAGTTCTTATAATCTCACTAAAGCATTGCTGATACCACAAAATTGCATGCTATCATTTAGTCAAACTGTAATGATAGGATTCAGGTAGGTCTATGGGCTGAATTCTCAACTGCAATCCCATGTTTGCTGCCTAAGTTAGATAGATTAGTATTATGAATCCTTAACTATTTGGATACCTGCTTTACTTGTTCTATGTTTGAAGCCATTGTCTTTCTCCATTTTCAGTTTAAAAGGAATCCAATCGGGAGATCTTAAAGTGCACTAGATACGAATACAGTTAAGTAAACACATCATAGCAAAACTTCCATTTTTGCACAAATCTACGGATGAACATTGACAGAGAAATATACAGCACCTGAGAAACAGGATGTCCATTTAGAAANTTTTTGCTCAAATCTACGGATGAACATTGATAGAGAAATATACAGCAACTGAGAAACTTGATGTCCATTTAGAAAACAGGGTGTTCAAAAGATAGGGTCAATCACGTTTATTTTGCTGAGTGTTCAGTGCAAATCCACCTCCACATCCAGCTCCAGCTCCATCTCCACCTGCAGCACCACCTCCACCTCCACCTCCAGCACCACCTCCAATTCCAGAAAAAATTCATACAATTCGACCTCCACATCCAGATCCATCTCCACCTCTACCTCCAGCACAACCTCCACCTCCAGCACCATCTCCACTTCCACCACCAGCACCACCTCCACCTCCAGTGACCGCCCCAACTATTGTCCAACCAGCCTCAATTTTCGAACGAATCAAATAAAAAAACATACCACAAATCGGACCCAACTACTCACAAATTTAATTGCAACAAATAACTAAAAATTATCACAAGCAAAGAAAGAAAACCTTGATTTGAAGAATAGAAATCTTGATTAAAACTGAAACTCGTCGATTCTGCTTGACCGGAACGAACTACCCCAAAATTGGAAGATGTCATCTAGCACCCTTCGTCCCCTCGTTTCAGCCTTCGTTTTGGTTGGGTTTTTGCCTCTGTAGATCGATTTACAGGGAGGTGGGAGAGCGAGAGAGTTGAGAGAGAGGGAAAGAGTGAGGGTGAGAGTCCGTTTCACGTGTGTTTTCTATATTTCCCTTGTTTTGGCGTGAAATTTACAAAACGGTGTTTTTGTCGTTTTCTATTTTCAGGCAAATCTTTTTTTGCATTTTCCAAAATGCGTTTTGAAAAATAAGATAGAGGACGCGTTTTCGTTGTTTTGAGAAACTAAAAATAGAAAATGACTGGAAAACGACAAAGAGAACAGGGCCTAAAATACTTAACTGAGCTTACAAATTTAGCACTTCAGGTTTAAGTGGAATAAAGTTCACTGTCCAAACATATTACATCAGAACACAAAGTAATGAACTTAAAAAGGATTCTTCAGTATAAAATAGTGAAGCATTTTGGAGGCTTTCATTCTTCGTTTTCTTACACATCCAAAAGTCTTATTTTAGATTATTAATTGGAAGCATTTTGGAGGCTAGATCCAATGATGAAAAATCGGCTGACAGATTTTCTCAGAATGACATTTCACAGGTAATTTCTCAAAATATTAATTACTCTTGCTTATTGCTGGCTGAAGGCTTTCATTCTTCTTTTTCTTACCATCTCTTCCAATTAAGCAAGACCAAAAGTCCATAGCAGATTGCAAGATGTTTTGCATAATGTTAGCAATAGACCATGTTTCATTTGACGAGAAACATCTGGAAAATTTACCATTTATACCATCATTGCAGAAATTTTTTTAGAGAGAGGGAGAGAGACATAAAATGAGACACCCCTTGAACTTTATGAAAATACCATAGACACCCTTCACGTTTAAAAACTCAACTAACCTCCATTACTTTTAGTTTTGAGTATCACATACACTCCCTCGCCACTTTTTGAGCTATATATCTTCTAAAATGACGTTCATATACCTAAAATGCCCTTGTAAAAAAAAAGATAAAATCTTCTAAAATTAGTAGTAGTTAATTTGCTAAAAGCAACTATAAATTTCTGAATATATTTTTAGATGAAATATATGTGTACAATTAAATATCAAATAACCAACAGAAGTATTTTGATATTATTTTGAAATATTAAAATCATTAATAAAGGAAATATATTAAATTGCAACTAATTGTAGAAATTTTCATCTTTTATGCACAAGGAAATTTTAGGTATATCAACTTCATTTTAGATGATATATGATTCAAAAAATAGTCGAGGTGTATGTAATACTCAAAACTAGATATATGGGAGGATAGTGTGATTTTTAAACAGTGAGGAGTGTCCCTAAAAAAATCACATTGCCTCAAAAAAAAATCTGAGATTGACAACTGGGACACATGTTTTAGAACTCTATGCCAACCTTGCTACTGAAGTCTTAAATTCTGGGATTCCAGCTAGTTCCAAAAAATAATAATAAGAATTGTTATCTGACATAGGGAGTAGATAAACAATCAAGTTAATTGATGATTGAACTTTCAATGGAGATAAGGAATGAAGGTACCAAAGTATAATCAATTACCGAATACAAACCTTGTGCTTAAGGAAGCGCAGAAATCTGCACCATTATACTTGGGATAGTTGTGATTGTACATAATGCTGTAACGTAGATACAAAATGGTTAGTTTGTGCCTGCAATGAAAAAAGTCACGTGATCAGAAATAGAAATGTTAAGCTTACATATGTCGATGCATTTAGGAGCTTCAAGAATTGTTTCTCAACCCATGTAAAAGTCCATATGGAAAGCAGAAGGTATTGGAAAATTTTCCATACTTTCTAAATCATGCTTTGAAAAGAAACTTGGAATTCAATGAGAAGTTCCGTCTGCTGAACATGTAACAAAGTACTGCAGAGAGTTTATCAATAGTTATTAAAGCAGATTCTACACCCTGTAGAGCATTCATCACCAATCTCATCAAACTGGACTCCTGCAACCATCGGAAAGAGATTGATAAGAAATGTTCGCGAAATTTTTCTGTAGAAAACTACAAAAATTGTACGTGAGATCTATTCAATAAAAGACAAGACAAAGGTAAATTAACAGTACAATAAAAGAAGACGGAAAGATTAGAAAAATAGACGAATCATAAGAAGAGAGGAAAGCTTTAGAGCAGCATATGCGAGGAGGAGAAATTTTGGAGCATAATTTTAATGCATTTTTACCAAGATCTTATATTTGCTGCATAGCACTTAGTCACATTGTATAGGTGATCAACATGTAAACATCATTACGGTTGGAAACTTGAAATGAAAACGTTGTTTATGATGAAAACAATACCTGAGAAAATAAGACTTGGGAAATACTTGTTGATGATCATTCATCTCCCACTAATCATCCTCTATCTCCAAGATGTTTTGAATCAACTAGTTAAAATTTATCCTAAATCAATAGAAGGCTAGATTTGAAAACACTAGTATATTAGCCTAGATTGCTTCATTCACGTTGCCTCCGGTTCTAATTCAATACTTTAACACATTTCTAAGCTTGATTTTAATTTTTTTCAGAATGAAGGAGACATATTACTGAGATTCAATGAGTAAGGGAAACCCTGCCCCCACCGCCCAATTAAATGGATAAGTTAGGTGCGAAGGACTCGTATATGTTGGAAATATTAAAGAGGAGAAGATGAAGATGGAAACAAGAACAAGAACAAGATGAAATGAAGAATGAGGCTCGAACAACTATATGATACGTTGTCCTAAAAACGATATTTGCCTCCTCTAATATGCTTTTAGGATTTCCGGCAAATAGTTTAGATGATTGATAAGCCTTCAGGGAAGAAGCATAAAAGCACAATTAATTTTTCCTAGTTGAAAACTTCAAGAAATTTGAATATTTGATGAATGAATTGGAGTATCTCAAGTAATAATTTACTAGTTGTTTCTAATATTTGAAAATAAAAATCTATCATCTATTTATAGTATTTTTCATCCATATATCTTGAACAGGACCTAACAATTAATAAAAAATTGAAAACTTTTCATGATTCAACACCAAATTTCAAATGAAAAAACAACCCAACGGCTATAAAATTGAACCATGCGTACGCATGGTTATATCCTTGATTACGCATAGTAGAAACAATATCGTGCAGACAATTTCTTGTGTTGCCATGCGTATTCATAGGCATAATTTCCCACATTCCAACTTGTTTTCAGTTCATCAACTTGGGCCAAATAAATCTCTTTTCATGCCCATAAACTAATATAAAAAATTGTTTTGAACAAATTTACAACAATATATGCGCCTATGATCTAGATCCAATTGCTAAAGCTTGATAGCAAGAGGTATACTCTGCAATCAACTTCAAGAGATTGTATGTGAATGCTCAAATACAAACTGATTTCTCACAAAAATTAAAAAAAAAATAAAAAAATTATTGTTTCTAGGAAAAGCGTATCAGTCAATTAACGATTTTCGAAAACCAGACTACATTTACGACTAACAAAATATCTCACTGTACTGTAATCCTTTCACGTAGTAAATTCTCCGGTACACAAAAAACTAAACACGGCACAAAGTCCCACATGACTTCGGTCTTCAACAATCATAATTCATAAATTATTCAACTACCATATTAGAGCCAAGAGGATAAACAAAATATTATTATTTTCTTAATGAATCAATACAGCCATATCAGATTAAATAGGCAAGAAGCAAAAGTGAAAGGCGGGAAAAGAAAGGAAAAGAAGGAAAAGAATATTCCAGCTGGCCCTAACTAATTACAACGGAAACGAACTGAAAGCTAACTAACCAACCTATTACAAAAACGTTATTTACAATAAGGAAATAAGAAAAGGTGTTATTTTCAATCCTCCCCTCAAGATGTGCGTAAATATCCTTTGCACACATCTTGGATAGTAAGTGAGCCAAATGAGAAGTAGGTAATGGTTTGGTGAAGAGGTGTGCCAACTGATGGTTTGAACGCACTGGAAGTAGCTTGATAACACCTGCATTTATCTTGTCACGTACGAAGTGACAAGCAACTTCTATGTGTTTTGTTCGTTTGTGGAAAACGAGGTTAGTAGCAATTTGAATAGCAGCCTGATTATCACAATAGAGGACAGTAGGAGCATATGTGCAAACTTGAAAATCCTTCAGTAATTGATTTATCCAAACGATTTCACTCACAGCTGAAGCAAGTGCTCTGTACTCTGCTTCAGAAGAGGAATGAGATATTGTAGGCTGTTTCTTGGACTTCCACGAAACCAGTGAGTCCCCAACAAAGATGCAGATTCCGGTAGTTGATTTTCGAGTGTAAACACACGAACCCCAATCAGCACTCTAATGTTAATGGATTTATTTGAAACCATCAGTGAAGGAAAGAAAAACCCCTGTCCAGGATGACCTTTTAAGTACCTTAGCAAATGGTGAACTGCTTTTAGGTGTGCCATTCGTGGTTGACAGGTTGAGAGCCATATTGACTAAGTTTATGGACAACAAATGTTATGTCGGGACGTGACAAAGTCAAGTATAGGAGTTTCCCAATTAATCTCCTATAATGAGAAGTATCAGGAAGTAAATCCACTTCATGTTGACTTAGAGTGATCTTCAGATCCATTGGGCTGTTAACTGGTTTGCAATCCAGGTAATTAGCATCCTCAAGTAATTGCAATGTATATTGTCTCAGTGAGATGACAATTCCAGAAGAAGACCTTGCTACTTCAATGCCCAAAAAATATTTCAAAATCCCCAGGTCCTTGAGTTTGAACTGAGAGTTCAAGAAGGACTTTAAAGAGTTTATCACTTCTAAGTTTGGTCCAGTAATCACAATATCGTCCACATATACCACTAGAGACACAAAATTCTGTCCCGATACCTTTGAGAAAAACGAGTAATCTGACTTTGATTGGGTAAAACCATGCTGTATAAGGGATAGAGTAAACTTTGAATTCCACTATCTCGAGGCCTGCTTGAGGCCATATATCGATTTATGCAGCCTGCAAGCCAATTTCTACACAGCTGAACTGATGGATAACTCCTTTATCAGCAAAGAATTTCTTACAAGCCAGCTCATGTGCATTATCAGATCTAAAGTATTTAACCTTGGCATCAAATTGTGTGGCAACCATGTTAAAGAAACAGATAATAGCAGCTTCCTCCTTAGATTTGTGATGCAACATATAAATCCAAGTAAATCTGAAACTATCATCCACTAAAGTTAGGAAATACTTGTGTCCCGTATGTGATGTTACATGGTATAGCCCCCCATATATCACAGTGTAACAATTCAAAAGGCCTATCAGACAGTTTATTTTGTGATTCAAAAGACAGCCTTCTTTGTTTAGCGATGGGACAAATGTAACAAGGTAAATGTCTATTCAATTCTAAAGTGTTACAGGAAACTTGATTCCTCAAAACATCTATTCTTTTAAAAGATAGATGTCCAAGTCTGTTATGCCATATATGAGCGGATACATTGCCAACAAAATTATTTGAAAAGGAATTGAACTTTCTGGTATCCAGAACATACAACCCTTGAATGTTACTATCCCTGCCAATCATCTTCATGGTGATATTCTCCTGTATTTGAAACTGGCCCTGAGAGAAGTGTAACGTCAATTGCGAGTCATCAGCCAATGCACTAACTGATAGTAAATTAAATTTGAACTGAGGGACGTATAAGACATCATATAGCATTAGACTAGGACTTAGCTCAATTTCACCACATAGATTGACTTTAATTTTGGAGTGATTTGGCAGAGTAATGCTGGCATTTTCGACTGATCTCATGTTTGCAAATGCCTCAGCATTACAGCAGACATGTTTAGTAGCTCCTGTGTCTACTATCCAAACTTCCTTAGTGGCAAAAACAGGATCAACAGATATGGAATGGCAAATACCTGAAGTGCCTGCAGTCTGCTGTTTATCCAAGTCAGTAGAATTCGATTTGAATGAGGTGCCAAATGACTTGATAACATGTTCATTAGCCATTGATACTGATTTGAGTTCAAATTTTGAATGAAATCCTCCACTCCATGTTGATCCATGTGTTGATTGATGGACAGTTGATTGACCTGGTTATTGGCAGAATAACCTTGAACACTCTCTCTAGTTCTCGATTTGAATCCTAGAGGATATCCATGTATTTTGTAACACTTATCAATTGAGTGTCCATGGAACTTGCAGTGAGTACAATAGGGCTTATCCCTTTTCCTGAAACTAGCTACATTTCCAGGTTTGGTTCCTTCATATCGAGAACCATAATTCACTACACTCACAAATCTAGATCCATCATAGCGAGAATCATAATTCACCATAGGTTTGACAGCATCGGATCTAATAGAGAATGCTGCAGAAGCACCAGAAGACATACTATCAGTAGGCAATGTCTGTGCATTTATCTTTCTCTGGTTCTCTTCTTGCACCATGAGTGAAAAAACTTTGTTAATAGGGGGCATAGGATCCATAAGCAGGATCTGTCCTCTAGCTTGAAAAAGGGACTCATTCAATCCCATAAGGAAAGACACGATGTATTCCATCTAGTGATACTTGTTTATCTCTTTAACTCTTTCACATGTACATTTTCCACAGCTGCAATTGGGCTGAAATTGATTAATTCTTCCCATACCGTCTTCAATTTTGTAAAGTAAACACTGATTGAACTCTGATCTTGAGTTAAATTCATCAGTTCCTTTCTCAGTTGAAAAATCCTCGATCCATTGCTTTGTTGGAACCTCTCCTTTAGATCATTCCAGATCTCACGAGCGGTGGAGATATAAATGATGCTGGCTGAAATCTCTTTAGAGACCAAGTTCAGTATCCACGACATAACTATGTTATTGTTCCTAATCCATGAATTTATCAATTCTGGATTTGATTCATCAGGTTTCTTCATAGATCCATCAACGAAGGAGATTTTATTCTTAACAGAAAGTGCGATGGTCATCGCTCGATTCCACGATCCATAGTTCTCACCTGTAAGTGGCTGTGACACCAATACCAATCCAAGATTATCTGAATGGTGAAGATAGAATGAGCTAGATGGTTCATCAACAACTGATTTGTTCATGGATGAATTCACTCAATGTGGATTTGAATATTTGCTGTATCCATTGCAGCAGAAATGAGGATCTCTAAATGATTTCGAGATTCAAAGTAGAAAAGCTAGGTGCTCTGATACCATATTAGAGCCAAGAGGATAACCAAAATATTATTATTTTCTTAATGAATCAATACAGCCATATCAGATTAAACAGGCAAGAAGCAAAAGTGAAAGGCGGGAAAAGAAGGAAAAGAATATTCCAGCTGGCCCTAACTAATTACAACAGATATTAGAGCCAAGAGGATAAACAAAATATTATTATTTTCTTCATGAATCAATACAACCATATCAGATTAAATAGGCAAGAAGCAAAAGTGAAAGGCGGGAAAAGAAGGAAAAGAATATTCCAGCTGACCCTAACTAATTACAGCATAAACGAACTAAAAGCTAACTAACCAACCTATTACAAAAACGTTATTTACAATAAGGAAATAAGAAAAAGCGTTATTTTCAATATACTACCAAATGAAAATTTCCGTTCTCTCACAAAATCATAATACAACGCATATATAGAGAGAGAAGAAGGAGAGAGAGGATTCTTACGGAGACGGTGGAAGTGGGGATAGAGAAAATGAGAAGGGTGAGAATGAGAGGACGCGAATCCCAGGATCTAGATGGTACCCATGGGTTATCGGGCTTCAGCTTCTCCATCAGAAATGCCATGATGTCGGTCGACAATTCCACCTCCATGGGTGGTAGTTACAACTGCCGGATTACGGTAGGGCAAATACTCTCTCTCCGCCGATGTGGAGAATTGGAGAGGGAAAAATAAAATTAAAAAGGAGAGAGGAAAAATCCATACGTCGCTTTTGATACTTATTGAACTGAAATCGCTATAAAGAATAAAGAGCTTTCATGGCGGATTTTTATTTTTTTTTTGTGTTTTCTCTTGAATTAATTTAAACTGGTGAATCAAATAAAAATTAATTTATCGTAAACTGTAGCGTCATCAAATGGTGGGACAGTTCAAGCCGCACTATCATGCTCACGAAAACATGTTATGATTTTGATAGAGGAAAAGGTGCCAAAAGAGATTGATGTGACATCCTTTCATAACTTTTTTTGTACTTGTCTTTCACGAAAAAATTGGTAACTTGATCAAAGTTCGAGTACTTAGATTCACAAAATGGTTAGTAAAATCTTGACGAATCATCCTATTATGGTGAGAAACATGTAAATAAAATTACAGATTACATGCCATTTTTGTTGGGGAATTCTAGGCTCACTTTCACCCATTTATCCTGTCCGATTGGGAGTACCACAGTGCCTGCGGGCAATGCAATATCTGGAATGTACGTGTAGACTTTAACTCTGTCACCGAGTAGATAGCTTCTCATTCCAGCAGCCATCTTCGTCCGAGAATCCGCAGCACTGAGAATTGAGACATCGGGAGTAGGAGAAGATGGTCGACCTCCAGTGAGTTTATCCGTCACTGGTACATTAGGAAAAGCTATGGACTCGTGGGTGCTGAATTTGTCATTGCCTGATGCGCAGTCGTTAGAATATTCAGTTTCTTCGTTTTCATCTGCCAAATTCATTGATCGCGTTAATATTATAATACTGAAGCGTTCTTAATCAGATTCTATTGTAAACAAATTAGAGCGGCAACAACAATGCAATTAGGATATTATTACCTTTGTTTTCTCCATGCTGCGCCTCGTTTTTTATAGCTGGAGACGTGTTTGATGAACATCCAGGAGTGCCCTTTACTTTCTGATCAGAAATGGTGACCGAGCCCACACGAGAAGCGATCTTAAGAGCATCATCATCCGAGGATCGCAACTTGAAGTCAGCAGGATGAAACAACTTCCCTGATTTGGTTAGAAACTCATGAAAATCAGAGCAACGTAGAATCAGGATCACGGAGAATTGAAAAGTGCCAACTTACGCTCAATAAAGGCAGTGTATGCAGCCTTTGCAGCATTAAGCTCTGCTACTTTCTTGAACTTGGCTTCTGCCCCTCGAAAAATTTCTCCTTCGATTTCCACAGAGGAGATGAATGTCTGATTGTGAGGCTCACCAGATACGATTGTTGTATACATTGATAAGAAAAATCCTTCTTCCTGTGTCAGTTCTTGTAAAAGATTCTTGTACGAAAGGGGGTCCTTGAAATAACATGAAAATGGATAGAAAAATTGTTAAGAAGTTCGGGACAAACATCATATTTTTTACAAACATCATATTTTTTGTGCAATATGCACTTTATGTTAACACGACTGCATTAAAGGTTTACCTCTTGAAGCGCCTCTGTCGACAATGATAACAAAGCAATCTGTGCAGCAGCATCTTCAGCTTCCTCTGAAGTCTTATACAGACCTTGGGTGACAAAGCGATTTTCTCCTATATTGACTGTGGCCTTGGTACAAGGAGTGAGAGGACCCTCTTTTTCAACATGGTATACTGGTAACGCGAGGTCCTTCCTCTCAACAAAGATCTGCAGCATCTTCTTGAACTTTTCAGGCAAATCTGCTAGCACAAGCACCAAATTTAGAGCTCACTTCGAGAGAGGTTACATTTGTTTCTTATCAAATGCATGACATTGTACGATTGTCATACAACGAGGCTTGAATCAGGACTTTAGAGTACTCTTGTCTAAAAGTTCAAGCTATTAAGAGACAATCGTTACAAGGTGGACAAACAGGATACAGATGGAAAGGTAGAAGTACCAAGATTTTCGTTGAGCTGGTTAGCCACAGCATCTGAATGAACTTTGGGACTTTGAACGTCGTTTTTACTGTTGGGTTCTTCATTGTATTCTCCGCTTTGATTCAAAGTGTCTGCACAATAATGAGAAATATAAGTGCTGGAACTGCAGCAATATTTAGAACCAGACAATTACTTGGATTGACAAGCGCAAATAGTACAAATCGAGCGAAGGAAGGTAGGAAGTATTAGTTTACCAGAAGTGAAGTGGAGGAAGGCGAGCTTAGCCGCTTCATTGTAGGCTTCTTTAGAGGATTTGCAGATGGTGATTGTGTCAAAGTTGATGCCACTAACCACCACAGATGCCTTGAATTGTGGAATGTGATCCGGGCCATCTTTCACGCATGTGTATTTTGGCAATGCCCAGTTGCATTTGTGGCACAATTCTTGCAGCTTCGACTTGTACATTTTCCTTTTCTTTCACTCTTCTATAGCTTTATATGTACATATAGATATATGGAAGCAGAGCAAGAAAGACATGATTCTCTTGTGTTGTGCCCTTTAAGTACAGTTATTTGTATTCTGGCCTCAAATTAAGCAGAACATGAATGCAGCAAGGGAAGGACGAATATTAGTAGTACATCTTTTTTCCTATCGAATTTATTCTTGTGGAAGAGATGAAAACGATCAACTAACATTCTAATATCTTTTGGATCTGAAATTCTAAAAGGGCCTTTAATTTTCTTAGTTTCTATACAAGACAATGACAAAGATATTTTGATATCGAATTATTGTACAAACATGAACAATAAAATCATATAAAGAAGAAGAACAATAGGATTGATACACTAACTTAAATGGTTTGACAATGTATATACGTTTATTGTACGGGAATAATCCACTAACATTGATACGTTTATTAACTTTTAATTTTAATTATTTGATTTTGGTTATTTTATTATAAAAAAAATGTAAAGTTACAATTTTAACCTTTCAAAATTACTGTCAAGATCAATTATTTAGTCAACTAACGGTCAAATTAACAGAAACCATTCATTTGGACTTCAGCTGCAACATTTTGAAATGTTTGACATAGTGGATGACACAAATTAAATGTATGAGCAAAATCTGCTACTAAATGAAAGGTTTGATACCGTAACTGCAATTATCCATTTTTATTAATATTTACTAAAAAATCTGGTTTTTAAAAATCAAACCGGATTTAATGCAAGTTGCACTTTGGAGAGAGAATAAAAATCCACTTGTTGTCCCTATCAAGGTGATATTTCAGAATTCCTTTTACAGTTTCATATTTCTTGATTCTTGTTTAGAATTTTACATGTTTGCAACATGAATAATGCATTAATGCTTGAGGCGTGGGACGACATTGAACAATGAATAAACATCTAATGTACGAAAAGCTCCTTTAAGAATAACAAAGTAGACGAAATTTTTGAAATCTTGCATGTTTTTTTTTCATGAAACTGTTCAGAACCAAGAAATTGAAGATTTGTACAATGTTGGAAAGGAAATAAGACTCCAAAAAGACCATGGCTTTAAAATTCATAACTCAAAGCCATATAAATGAGCATCTACTT